CGTCTTTCCTCTTCTTTGTGCAAGCCAAGAGTTTACTGGAAGCGTCGCACTCGTGGTTAATAGGTGGTGTCATTTTCGGCGAAATTTTCACCGAAACTGCCATATTTCCCTGAATTTTTGTTTTTTTTTGTTTTTGTTTTTTTGTCCGATATGTATAAGCTTGAGGGTATATCTGTGTTCAGTTGGATGAGCCATAGCAGGCTGGTCAGTTTGACCGGTCTAGCACAGAAGATTGATTGATGACCAGGATGGTTTGAAGACTGCGTTCGCAAGGGTGGTTTCTTCCTTTGCCATCTTTTTTGTATTATGGAGGATGTAATGGGTTTGGAGAACAGCTTATAGCCTTGTACCCTAGTTTAGGTGTGTAGTCAGTTATTTTGTGTTTTCGTGATACTGTGGTGGCACTGCTAGGTACGCTCCAAGACCATTCCTTGGGATCAATTTCCAGGTGTTGTATGTCTTATTCAGTCAGGCTTGTAGACCCTGCTCCTGTCTCCTTCTATAACCTTGATTCTTCTGAGGTTGTTGACTTAAAGCTCACGTAGCTCATTGGGTTTCCTGGGTCTTCAAGTGGGAAGATACCACGACATATCCATTCTCTGTTTTGGCTTTCATAAATTTATGATTTTTAGAACTTCATAATTGGCTGCTAGGTCTGTCTGTGTCACCCGGGATCCATTTTTGTTTTACCTGAGTAGCTGGTGCCATTCCATAGGGATGCTGTCAATGATTAGTGGTATGTTGAACTGTAGGTTGTGGCTTCCTTTCAGTATGGGTCTTAGACTCTTAGCTCTTTTCCGGATTCCAGGTTTTGAACACTTCGTTCCATAGGCGTTGGATTTGTCATACTCCCTTCTCCAGCCAGTGTCCCCATTTGGCATCCGCTTTGGTGAGAGAGAAGCTATCTCCCTTCTCGTCTTTAATCCAGGGATTGTCGAAAATGGGTAGTCTGAGCACTTCATCTTTCCTCTTGGGTCCGAGCATATTTTCTGGGAAGATTTTTCTTCATGTGTGTAGGAGCTGTTCGCAGAAGGATTTTGCTCTTTCGTTGTCTGACTCGTCTTCCGGATCAATTTGGCGCCTGTGAATACGTTTATCTCTTGGGAGGGGCCACTGCTTGTTAAAGATCCAGAACAGGCCTGACATGTTGGGTGCGGATTCGTATGAAGCCAGCTCCCTGATGTGATTTAGCACGATGGGTGCGGATTGCAGAGTATTTGGAGCGATAGTCTTAGGATCCACTTGGTTTGCAAGGCCTGAATCTGTACCTCTTTGTTTATACTTGCGAGTGCAATCGCAGGTCCTCGTTCTTTTCCAAAAGTTCTGTTCACCTGTCTTCACCCTGTGCAGTTCATAGAACATATCTTCTCGCACTGGGCTACCAACCGGGCTGCCAGGGTCACTGTGGTTACCTGGGCGGCACAGCTGGGCAACGGCTAGGGTGGCAGGGGAGGTCCCTGCAAAAAAAAACAGGAGAAAAAAAGAAAACCGAAAAAAAAGCTATGTTATGCAGAAAAATATGCTGAACAACTTTTACCACAGGGTCACATCGAAATTCTGTACCACATTTTGAAAAAAAAATCTTTTTCTTTTTCTTTTTGTTTCCTCAGCCCAGCCGGGCAAGTGCTCCCGGGCAACTCTGGTATCCTAGTACTCTAGCATCTTCTCTCTCTTATCTTTTTATGGTTGAAGATCGGACCTCTTGTACCCACGGGTCTACGGCATTCCTTTTTCATTTATAGGCTTGATTCCCTGCATCATCTTCTATGCATGAAGATGAGTGTACTCAGTCTCATTTCCAGCGTTCAGGTTGATTCTGCATCATTGGCAAATGGAATTCTGCAACGAACCTGAGCGTCAGTAAGTTCATGACCAGAGCAAAGTCACTGATCAGCATGTGTCAGAAGACCGATCTGAAAGCAGAATTGATGATACCAGGATCACATCAATAGAAGAATACACACAACACTGAAGGCTCTTGATTATGAAGGGACTCTTCTTGCCTTCAGCAAATCGATACAACAACAGGGTGGTAGTATCTGACTCTCCCCTGGTGTCCCAGACCAGAGGGTGAGACTGCCTACCCTACTCATCCCCTATGAGCAAAGCCCACACTTCCTCGATGACGGTTTGAAGAGTTCGCTAAGCTGGAGCTCCCCCCTGCCGACCACCAGGTGAGCATTGACCAACCTTCCAGGGGCCTCACCCTGTGTGCAGTGTACGCTTACGTAGTCTTTCTCCGATGAAGACTAGTACTTGGGAGCTAGCTCAGCTGAAAGGATTCATCCTGCAGATGTCCCGAGTTCCGGTACCTGTGTCCCAAAACGTCCCAGTCCCAGGATGTCCCAGTAGGGTAGGTCGTAGGGACCATAGGCTGAAGCATCGTAGGTTGGTATGTGTCGGTACCGAAACGTCACAGGTCCGTAAAAGTCAGTCCGGTACCTGACAAGAAAAGTCCAGCCCAGTCCAGTACAGTCCCAAGTCCTATGTTGCAGCATGTCCCAGGAAAGTCCGGAAGCTACGGGGCCAACAAAATGATTGCAGAGGCCGCGGCCGACCGGTACCGGTCTGAAGCAGGCCAAGCCAAGTCAAGTCCTATATTTAGCTGCTACAGTGCAGCGGCTCATCACTTGTTCAATTGCAAGATGCGGAAGCGATGCTGCTGCTTGTGAGTTAAGGAAACTTGGGCACTTAGCGCCTGATGGAGGAAGGGGGTGCTTGAGAGCTACCCCATAGCTAGGGTAGAGGAAGGTAGGAAGGGGGGGCGGCCATAGCCGCCGAGTGTGAAGCTTACCTGGGTGGGTGTATCCAGGGTTACGATCTAGGGTAGAGACAGGGAGTGAGGTAGAGCGAACCAAGCGAGAGAGAAGAGTGAGAGTGAGAGTGAGAGGGAAGCCATAGCCATCAGCTGGCCGAGATTGGTTCTATGTGTGTGCATGTGTGAGCGGCAGAGCCGATGGAGACATAAATATTTCTTTGTATAATAATGATAATTTTGGAGACAACTTCCTCATGTGTTGATTGTATCTCAGCTTTGGCTTCTCACGCGTGAACACTCGTGTGAATGTTCATTGATGTATGCGAGGTGAAACTTGATGAGAACTTGGTTCATTTCACAGTGCAGGAAAAAAAAAGGTCATACTGCATCCAAGCCACTCTTCCCGCTTGGAGTTGTGACTCCTGTTCTAATCAAGTCATTGCACATTTTGAGTTGAGACATTGAATGGACTTGGGCTCAAGACGATGACTGCTTCACTCCAAAATCCACAAAGGAAACCACAGTGTTGATCTCCTATTGCAAAATGAGACTTCGGTTCTTGTACTTGAACGGATTCATGTTCAATAATCTGTCAAACAGTTGACTGGAAAACCCTCAACTATAAAACCTGGACCCTTAACCCTTCACACAGGAAGCCGGCTGCTTCATACTAATCGACGGAGGAACCATAGTGCTGATCACCTATTGCGGAAGGAGACTTTTCTTCTCATATCCGAATGGACTCGTATCCAAGAATCCGTCAGAAATTTATGGAGAATCAGAGACCCCAAAGGGCCCAAACCCTAAGCCCTTCAAACAGGAAGGGTGGCTGCGTCATCCAGATCTACAAAAGACACCATAATGCTGATCCCCGTGAAAGGAGACTTTTGTTCTTGAATTGGACTGGATTCATGTCAGATAATCTGTCAGAAAGTTCACAGAAACCCTAAACCCTAAACCCTAAATCCTAAGCCCTTCAGCTTTTTTGACACCCTGCTTCTTCTCATGAAAACGACAAGATGCCAGCATTCTTGAGTACAACTGTTTTCAACTGGGCCAGGTTTTCTCTGGGTAAGGTCCAGAACTCCACTTCTGCCATTTCCACCACTGTGCGCTAAGCCCTTCAGCTTTTCTGACACCTGCTGCTGCTTGTGCAAAGGAAAAGGTGGTAGCATTTCTTGAGCACAACTGTTTCAGCTGGGACAGGTCTTCGCTGGGTTACATCCCAATCTCGACTTCTGTTGTGTCGACCACATTGTTCTCTCCTTGTGGTCTAGGTTTATTGCCTAACATATGATGAATTAACAAAGGAAAGCCCGTATGGTAAACCTTTCAATTCCATTTTGTTCAGATGGTGTTTTGTTCGGTCGTCATCTATTCAGTAATGTCCATTTTGTGTCATTCTCACCTTTCAATTCCATCGATGTCCAATGCAGGGACTTAATCGGGGGGGGAGGGACCAAAGGATGCAGCCCGTATGGTAAACGAACTCAAACAGGGATGCAGCAGCGTACATACTACATTGTGCATGTGTGCCGGGTGGGGGGAGGGGCGGTGGAGGTTATGGGACTCTCTCCTACTTCGAAGGATTCTCTAATGAGGAAGGCATGATGGTACTACCGTCTTCACCCGAATAGAACGCCGGTCATTATAGCTTCATTTTCGCTCAACTTTCAGCCCAGATGCAGCAATAATGACCGGGCGTTCTATTCGGGTAGTGCTACTAGTGCCAGGGAACTGAAGTTAAACAGAGGTTTAAGTGGGTGGTGCAGCGTGGAAACCCTATGGGAAGCGCTTTGGCCACAAGGGGATGGTTCGTATTAAAACGTTTGCAAGATCCCAAGCGATGGCAAAGGGCGTGGGTATGATTAGAGTGTGCTGTGAGCATCAGTGTTATCTCAGCAATCAATCAGGATTCAGGAGGTAAAAAGCGAGGACTCCGAGGAGTTTAGTTGTTAAGTGAGGAGTTTCATACGCATCTCTTATCAGTGTGAGGCTAGCCTAGGAAGGAAAATCATGGTCTTGATGGTTGTTGTTTATCTTTTTTTTTTTTGTCTTTGTTGTTGGTCATCCAGCCATGGTAATGCCCTCAAAGTTTAGTTGGCTCTGTATATACTCACGGAGGTTGTCAAATGGTGAGTCGTCATCACCCTTGTCCAGTCCGTTTGGCTGTCAGAGGAGTTATATAACATGCACACAAATGCAATTTGTTTGTTGGTGGTGGTGGGTGATCTTACTGCAGGCACCACAATTACACATCATGGAGATCGCCCAACGCATATCTATGTTGTCCAGAGTGGGCAAATACATGTATCACAGCCCCCAAAACCCCACCCGCGGGAGAAGTCAACAACCCGCAACAGTGGCGTTCATGCGCCTTCCACGCGCCAAGCTCAGACGGTTAGCAAACACAGCAATAGAGCAGATGTAGCAACAGATGGCAGAAGTGCGCCTTTATCAGCCAGAGGGCCATCGAGCTTCTTCAGGATGTTTTCTTTGGGCCCGGCATCAGATGCAAAATGTGTCAGTTCCACTCCTGCTAGTCCTGCGGAACAGTCTTCAAAGGGGAGAGAATACGGATCCTGGGAGGTTGCATTCGGACGAATGATCAGGGAAAGCCTCGGAGTTGCTGTACCAGAAAGCTCACCGAATAAAGTTGATAAAGGGAAGTCTGGTGTGCAGGATGAGGGATTGGAAGAAAGTGAGGGGGAGGTGGTGACTGCTCTGCCCCAAAGCTCTGAGTTGGCGGACAGCTCAGGGGACGAGGCATGGCAGAGAAACAAACGGAGCTCTCATTTGTCTGTACAGTCTTCGCCATCATCAGCAGAATCAGGACATGTTGGGGGAGCGGGCACAGGTTTTGGAAGGTTGCTTGGTTCTGCTTTTGGCTCACGACATTCCTACCTTAAAGGGGGCGGAAGTGGTGGGAGCCCATCTGATACAGCGTCCCCTGATGGACAAACAAAGCCACACATTATGACGGATACTAGGAAGGAGCGGGCTGGTGAAGTGACTCCACACAGTTCTGTCTTGTCTGACAAACAGGCCACAAAAGTTGTTTCGACTGAGACTAAAACAGAGCCAAGAGTTGGGGGGAATGACCATGATTTGGTCACTTTTCATGGGCGGGGTAAACTGTTAGTTGCAAAAGCTGTCACAGAACCTAAAGTTGGAGATGTATTGGGAGGGTGTCCTCATGGTTCAGTCTCTGCTGATGCAAAGTGCAAGCATTGCATCGCAGTCGAGCCTAAAAAGGGGGGGCCAGGCAAAGGAGGGAGTCCATGCATTCCAGCCGTTTCTGATGGACGAGGCAAGCAGTCGGTTGGGACAGAGCCTCCTAAAAATAGAAGTCACCTGGGGGATGAGGAACTCGCTTCACATAAGATAAAGAAGCCTTCTAAGACTGCTCACTCCAGTCGTGCAGCTTCCAATGAATGGAGCTCCGTATTCATGACGTATGCTGTGTTTGGGGATGAAGGTCTGTTGGGGGGCATTTCAAGGTACAGCAGTGTTGGAGCCAGTTACGCCTATACTACTGTGGTGAAGTCTTCTGATGGTAAGTAATTCATGGTTTCTACTCAAGAAATGACAAGAAGTTAAGAACTATAAAGAACCAGAATGACTCAAGCAAGAGGTCTGAATGGGTTCATAAGGGTGCCAGATATATCCCATCTGTATGAGTGGTTCGGTTGTCAGTGGATCATTGGGCCCAAAATCACGAAGCCCATTGTTGGGCCCAATGATGAATAATGCCTGTCACATGGACTTGTTTGCAACTTTGCACTCTTTAAATCCTTGCACAGAATCGAGTCTTATTATACAGTCGGTATCAACTTACTCATCTCTAGGCTTCAGCGTTAGCTGTCTTCTTTTCGTAGTAGACTACAATGCTGAACCACTGAGTTCTCAGATTTTTATCCCCTCGTTTTTCACTATAGTAGTGTTGTATAAAAATATGTATACATATATCGTCATAGAGAACTGTCTGATGAACCATAGGCAGAGAGGGAGATGAGGACAGCAAACGAGGGGCTGTGACAGACTTTCGTCGTAGTTTTCACGGACTGATGAGGATGCTGAACCCTCTACACTCTGCAGAGTTCCCTACCGATGATATGTTAAGTGATAATCCAACTGCCTGACGACTGATACCCTGAGGTGAGCACCAACTGACCTCAAGGGTAACACCTTTGACGAAAATGTCAGAGAAGTGAGCACAAGGGACTCCTTTGTCCAGAAGTGGAACAGGGGGCTCCTGTGTCCCGAACTTGAAATGGAGTGAACACAGAAGTGAGCACTTAAATCACTAGTACCTTTGCTGGTTAGGAAAATAGCGGGCCTCTGACCTTTCAGGAGGCCGAAACGAAACGACGGCCGCCGATTAGATTTATCAATGGCAGCCGTCGTCGGACCCAGCCTCCGAACTCTTCGGGAGCTGGCGTTTTCCCTCATTTCTGAAGAGGCAAAGGTACTACCGTCTTCACCCGAATAGAATGCCCGGTAATTATTGCCATATCAGGGCTGAAAGTTGTGCCAAATATAGCTATAATGACCGGGCGTTCTATTCGGGTGAAGACGGTAGTTGTTTAACTGACAAAAAACTAAATTTGCACTTAACTGAAATGGAGTGAACATAGCTGGCTGAAGTTTTCGCAGCCAAAGTATACCAACGTCGAACAAGGGAGGAGGTACTCAGACAACTACTGTTCTCTAATCAATGACTAAAGGATGAAACGGGAAAACCAAGGACGTTAACAAATCAGGATTCGAGTTGGGGGATGCTCAGGGTATAGTATCCTCCATATGAGTCCATAATCCAAAAAAGATGGCAAAGGAAAAAAGCACCCTTGCGAACGCAGTCTTCAAACCAGCCTGATAATCAATCTTCTGTGCTAGACCGGTCAAACTGACCAGCCTGCTATGGCTCATAAGATTCAGGGGGCTTCCGGTAAACTCTTGGCTTGCACAAAGAAGAAGGAAAGATGAGAGATCCAAACAGGCAGCTTGGTGCAAAGTCTGTAATCCCCAAGTCATAGAGTCTCTTAACCACTGCTTCTTAGAATGTGAGATAGCCCTAAGACTTTGGGACAAAATAGATCTAACATGGAATAAATACTCAGGTAGTATAGTCCAATTCAACCCTGGCACCCTTTTCCTAGACATAGAGCCCCCCCCCCCCCTCCTCCCTCAAAGGTTTCGATCTATTGTTTATTTCCTGAGTGGGGATCCGGGCCGCCCGGGTGACCGGCAGGTGCCCGGGAGAGGTCCCGGGCGGCCTGGCCGGGCAGGGCACCCGGTTGGGTGCCGGCCCCCCCCAGCGCACTCACCTGTCAGGGGATTTCGGACCCCCTTTCG